GGGGCGGGAACCAGTTTTGGAAATACCATAACACAGATCAATAGCATAATAAAGCCCATTTCCTCGGACCTCTGGCCCCTCCCTGGTAGGCTGGGCGAGAGGAAGACAGATGCCTCAAACATCCTGCGGAGTTGAGACCACTTCCATTCGAGTGCCCTTCAGAGGCTGGGAGCAAGGTTCCCGTGACCTTGACCACCAGGGGTGCAGGGACCAGTCCAGCATGGCTCAGGGGAGGGCGGGTGAGGTCTCAGACTCTGAGCCTCAGGCTCTGCCTCTGCAAAATGGGGTCATGCCTTCCGGGGGCTCCAAGAACCACAACGGCATCTGACTCGGCTTTCTGGGAAGGAGTCACACCTCTGGACACATCTCTAGCCTCGGCCCCCAGGCTAACTCCAGACACCAATGTGGGCCTGGGCAGCGAGGAACACTCGCCTGCTCACCAGCCTTAGGCACCACCACACTGAGGCTTCCACTGAGGCTCCACAGCCCCTCGTGGCTTAGGCTGAGCAGCCAAAGGCAGCGAGGTCTCGTGCCAGGCCCACCGGAAGGTGTGTGGGCAGGGGCCTGGGGGCACATCGCTGCCACAGGTAACAGGGCCTTATTCCCGCTGAGAGGTGTAATGCCAGGAAATGTCTGGAAGGCCACCCACTGAGAGTTATTAAGTGACTTTGGATTTTTTTCTTCTGTCTCATCTGCAGGGAACATGTATTATTATTTCTATAATAAAGAGGGGAGAAAAGCTCACTTTAAAATATATATATATATATATTGACAAAATGCCCATCAATGTTAGGCCTGTGGGCCTCTGAATGTTTTATCTAAATAATTTTCCACTAGCCCCACCCCCAGGGCTAGTGCTCAACTCTGACCAAGAGAGATTCCTACGCCCTTCAGAGCTTTAGGCTACACCATACAGTCTCACCCGGGAGGCTGCATACCCCAAGTCGGCTATGCACCCCGCCACCCCCACCTCCAGGGCCTGCGCCAATGAATTAACAGGCCTTTCAAAGATGTTCTCATCTCCAGCAGGGGGCGTGCAGGAGGGAGCCAATCGAGGACTCTCTCATCATTGATGTTTCTCTCTCTCTCCCTCTCCCTTCCTCTCTGAAATCAATAAAAATACATTTTTTAAAAAAAGGTATTTCTAGTGATGCAGACAGGAGGAGCGGGAAGGGAGTCGAGCTGGAGAAATCACCGGCGAGCTGTTCTCTGAGGGCTTCTCCCTAAGGAGCTGCAAGGCAAGGCCAGGCATGCTGAGCAGACACGGGACGCGGCTTCATCACGTTAGAAACCAGTAGGACACCGTGGTGTGACTCCAGGCTTCCTCCTGGGAGGAAGGACCCACAGGATCGAGTTGGAAAATCCTCGTGTTCTCTCTGCATGGAGCACTGGGCACACAGACCAACGCCCTGCCTCCAAGTTTCCATGTGGGTGGGGGCACCAAGGCACCAAGGACAAGAGGGGACACAGTGCCATGGCACAGGAGGCCCTTCCGTGTCAGGGAGTTTGGGAGGAGCTGGAGGATCTCGGTCGGCTGGTCTGACAGGGTTGGGGAGACCTGCTTCCCCCAGACCTGGCCCGGAGGTGACTCCAGTGGTCAAACTGCATTCCCCTGAACGCTGCAGGACGAGGCGTGCCCTCCTCCATTTGTCTGCCTGGGACCAGCGCAGCGCTGGCTCCCAGAGACAGGCTGCTGCACTGAAGTGGGAGGAAATGCTGGCGGCCTTGTCTTCTCATCTGCAGTGAGGGCGGGCTCACCGAGCCAGGCTTCTCCTCCAGGCAGGGAGATCAAGTTCCGGTTTATCCCTGCCGTCCCAGAATCCCTGCTGGTAATGTTGCTTTTACTCAACACATCCTGGTTTGGGGGAAAAATGATAGTCACCCTGCCCATTTCCCCATCAAAGCTCCATGGCAATCTTCCACCATCTCCAGGCAACGCCACACCTGTCTTCGCCCTTCCCCACCCATGCCCTGTCCCAGATGACCACTACCTGCAAGGAAGCAGCCAGTTCCTCTCAACCCTTCCCCGCAGTTCCTGGGCTCCCACCCCATCCCGCTACTGAGCACGCCTTCTGTCGCTGTCTGTCTGCCCACCCCACTGGTCTATGAATTCCTTGCAGGCACAGGCTGCCTTGTTCATCTCCAAGTCCTTCCCGTGGAGCCCAGCCCCTGCCTTACAGAGGTATTTGATAGATAATGTTTGTTAAGTTAATGAACCGCCACCAATCATGGTTCCTGCCAAGGCCCAAGGCGTCAACCAGAACACCAGCTCCTTCCCTGCCCTGGTCCCATGCCCTGCAGACGTCACTCTCTGGGACAATAATGCCCAGGGGTGGGCAGGAGGCCTGCTTGGTCCCAGCACTAACCAGCCAGGGGCCCTGGGCCTCCAAGTCCCCAGGATCCACAAAACCGGGGGCTGCCTTAACAACTGCCTCAACAGCGCCTTGCAGCTCAGACATTTCACACTCTGAAGGCTGTAACAGGCCCATCTTCAGATTAAACCGGGCCCCGCAATGTCTACCACAGGCCTCAAAAGCAGTGCGCCCGCAATTCCCGTCAAGGATTGAACCCCTGGAAACCATCAGAAGACGACCAAGATTTGTACACAAGGATGCTCACCGCAGCAGCAGCTTTTAAAAGAAAGACTGTAAACAAAACATGGTGCATCGTGCGAGGGAACACACTCTGCCACGAAAGGTCAGATTTTGTAGAACATTTAGTAACATGAGAAAATGGTCACAATACGGTAAGTGATAAGGAGGAGGTTGCACAACAATAGGAGCTCAATTTTATTTCTACCAGTGGTTTTCTCTGGGCAGTGGGATTGGGTGCCTTTTTTCGTTTGCTGCATTGTTCACAGTCTTCTACAGTTATAGTCAGGAGAAAAACGGCTGGTAAGTCAGCCTGCACTGCTGAGGCCAATGGGAGCCCACCTCATAGAAAACCCCGCCATTACCCTTTCCCTAGCCCCTTCCTCAGAATGCAGACAATTTCTGGGTCTGTCAATGGCCTGAGAACTCATCCAATTCCACCCTCGCTTAAGGCTTGCCCTTGTGCCGGGCCCCTGCAGTGCCAGGGGGAATCAGGCCGGAGATCTGCCAGACCTCCCTCCTGGACACAGACCCTTCCTGCAGGTCACCAGCCTCTGCTTGCACATCTCCAAGGACTGGTAGCTCACTGGGCCATGCCCATCCATCTTGGATCAAAAATCCTCCAACCCAGCCCTAGCTGGTTGGCTCAGTGGCTAGAGTGTCGGCCTGCAGACTGAAGGCTCTCGGTTCGATTCCAGTCAAGGGCATGTACTTTGGTTGCAGGCTCAATCCCCAGCCCTGGTTGGGACCCATGCAGGAGGCAACCAACCTTTGTGTCTCTCTCACATCAATGTTTCTCACTCTCTCCCCCTCCCTTCCACTCTCTCTAAAAATTAATGGAAAAACATCCTCAGGTAAGGATTAACAACAAAAAGTCCTCCAACCCAGCCCACCTTACTCCCCATGGCCTTTCCTCTATCACCCCCAAGTCCTGTCCAAGGATGCACCCACAGACAACAAAACCCATCCCCTCCCCATCCAACTCTAGCCTTTCTTAACCTCAGGCACAGAGAGCACTCCTTGTCTTCCCCAGCACGCAGGTGAGGAGGAGTTATAGCCCAGGAGTAACTGCATGTTAATTCCTTCCTGGAGAAGAGTTTCAATCCCCTCCTCGATCAACTCTGAAGTGGGGCTAGCCGGGGTGAGAGGCTGCAACTGACACAAAGCGGCTGCCCCCCTCTCTCTCAAACCCATCCCATGGCCCCACCCCCCACCCCACCATCACCAAAGTGATTCTTAAAGACCTCAGAAGTAGAAGCCATCAGCCCCCAACACCCTCTGCCCCCACCCCCCAGTTCTATAGGAGCCAAGGGCCGCCCTTCCCTTCAGGAAACACCCCTCACTGCCCAGCGGTGAGCAAACCTCTTCCTGCAGGTGTGGTGGTCCCATCAGAATCCACCTGGTCCTGGCTGTCTGGCCATTATGACACCTGACTCGGAAGAAGCTGACCTGTTAGCCCAGAAACTTTCCACTCACGGATGGCTGAGCAAGGCCCAGCCTCAGACACACCCATGAGCCCTGAGCCCAGCCACACCCACCCTTGCCCAGCTACATCCTTCCCCTCCCTCCCTGCCCCTCTCCAACTGCTATTTTCAGACAACCCATCAGGAGCCCACTGAGGGCGGTGCCTGGCTGGCACCCTTGGGAGGGACCCCTTCTCTCGGAGGAGTGGGGCACGGCTCCCCTTAGACTCCACACCCACCTCCACCACTAGGTTAACTGTCAGCGCCATGAAGTCCCCCTGCTCTTTGAATATGAGAAATGGGAACCTTGTATCCCCGCCAGGGTTAGCGGGATGTTATCTAGAAGAGGGTGGGGTGCGGTCAGGCCCTAGCAAGATGGTCCTCCTCTGCCCCTGCACGGTACAAACCAGCCTCCTCTCTCATTGCCCCCCTGCCCAGGGCAGCCCCACCTGGACGCCAGCCCTGGAGGGCTCTGCCTGCAAGGAAGCCCCCTAACCAGCATTTATATAACAACAACATAAGCATTTTATTTTTTCATTAAGCTTCTTAGTCTCTTAGTATCACAATGGAATGATGAGAAAACAAGAACAAAAAAATCTCATGAGTCTGCCAATCTCTAACACAGAGCAGAGACTTCAAGGCAATCGGGGGGAGGGGGTTGGTAGAAGTGCCAAAAATTCCAACATCACATCTCTCCATAGCCGACGAGGCCGGAGCGGGCAGGGAGGTGGAATGGTGAGAAGGTGGCACGGTCCCAGTGGTCCTTGGCATTTCTGTCTCACGACTGACTGGCGCATGATCTGCAGGGAGCACCCGCAGGATCTCCTGGTGCCCAACCACATGGCCCTCCGCCTACCCAGATGCCCAGGCTCTCCAACCAGTGCTAAGACACACCCCGCAGCCAGTTCTGCTGGGTGGGCAGCAGGAGAGTTGCATGGAGGAGGGCGGAGGGCAGGCCACACTGCTCAGAGTGTAAGAGTCAAAGGAGTGACCGAGGCTCGTCCAGGAGACAGCTGTGGTGAACAGCTGTGGTGAAAGGCGAGTGGTGCAGGTGGCGGCCCTCCAGGAAGCAGGCAGTTCCTCCGGGAAGCAGGCCACCTAGAGCTTCACAGTGCCCGGGGGCAGGCTGTCGTTGCAGAGTCTGTAGTATCGCAGGTCGTTGACCAGCCTGTGCACATTCTGGGTGAACGAGGGCAGGTCCTGGAAGGCATGGGCACAGCTGCAGCCTGGCCGCACCCAGCACCCCACGTCACCCACCCGCCCACCAGCACTTCCACCCCAGGGTGTGCTCGAGCTCCCAAACATTGTACACAACGGGCCACTTCCACTCCTTTCCGCACTCTGTGAGCGCACAGGCACTGCGGGGAGAAAGATCATGGCGAGGCTGCCCTCGTGTGCACGGCCAGGCTCTGAGGCATGGAGGTTAGGAAACCTGCCTCAGTGACAAGGCAGGAGGGAAAGGGGCACTGGTCGGGCTGCCTGTGTGTCTCTCCTTCACCGCGTCCTGTCCAGCATGTCCGCAAACTCCTCTTCCCAGTGCTCCAGGCAGGCCCTGCCACTTAAGGGTGACACCCTGCAGGAGCCCGCCCAACCCGTGATCTCACCTGCTGACCACCACCCACTGGGCCGCAGACTGCAAACCTCGAGGCTCCTCGCAGCTGAAACCCCATACCCTACCAGGCAGCACCAGGAGGTGGCCGAGGTTCGCACCCTCATCTTTAGATCGTGAATACCGATGCCGGACCACAGGGCAAAGGTGAGTAACACCAATGGCTCCCTGTCACAGAGTGGGCGGCTCCACCTGAAATTCCGCTGGCCGGGGGCTCAGAGAACAGCAAGGCACTTCCAGCTCCCCTCCTCCCACCACCGTTTCCCTGGCTCCCCTCCCCTTTTCAAGCTGCAGCACAAGGCCTGCCTCTGCCAAAAAGGGCCTCAGAGGCCTGTTTCCTGGCTCCAAGTGGCAGGTCCGCGGCGCTCCGCTGAGCTCTCAGGGCCCTGGCCCACCTGCTGTGGACAGCACACGCAGGCCTGGAGCCAGGGTGCCAGGCGTGGCCCACCCCTGCTCTCCCATTCCCAAGTTCTGTACCTGCCAACTGAGGGCTGGCCTTTCTGAGCCTGGGTTCGCCTGGGAATGGGGTTAACAGGACCCACGCATCAGAAAGCCAGTGCGGTCCACAGCGCTGCTGTGCCAGGCTTCCCACCAGGGCCTTATGAAGGCAGAGATGGTGCCCACCTCCTGCCCAGGCCCTGCGAGGAGCTGGCTTCAACCAGACAGTGAGTGAGTGAGTGAGTGAGTGAAGGATTCCTTTATGTCCTCCTCAGGAAAACATACCAACAGGTCTCTTTTAAATCAGCGGCTTCCAAATTCCAATCTGAATTTCCTGGTGGACACAGGAATCCATTTCTGTGTTTTACGTACCCAGGAGCTTTGATGCGTGGCTAAATTTGGAGCCCACTGCTTTAAATCAAGAAGTTGACAGATAATGCTCTCAGGAGAAACTGATCATTAAATATTGGAATTTGGACTCCAGAACAGCAGTCGCCAGGGTGGTCCGCGGACCTGGTGGTCCACGAGGTCCAAAAGGCTGGTGACTGCTGCTCTAGAAAAAGAAAGGGAACACCCAGTGGCTGAAGTGAACTCTAAGCCCAGGAGCAAACAGGGTAAGTGCCAGGGAAGAAAGACTCCAAGACAAGGAAAACAGGAGCCGAGTCTGAGAAAAGCTGTCCTGATACACATCACGGCCGAGACAAACAAGGAGGATGCAGGGTTTTGCTCCAGCAGGAGCGGCACATCCATCTGAAGACTGAAGGGAGCCCGTAGACAGGGACAAGCACAGGAGTCACAACCCCAAGGATGTGGGTGGAAGAGATCCCACTTCAAGTGGGAACTGGTCAGAGGCAGAAATGACCTATCCCTTAAGAAAAGCTCCGGGAGAACTGACCAGGCAAGCAGCAGAGGCTTCCAGCTAAAACGAAAGGGGGGAGGGTGGGGGGGGCGGCGCGCATGAAAGTGAGTGTTCAGAAAAAGGCCCAGGACAGGAAACGCTGAGCACCAGGTGAGGACAGCCCACCAGACCTTCCCCGGGCAAGAGGGTGAGCAAGAGGGGAGGGGATGGGTTTTGTTGTCAGTGAGGCTCCTCCCAGGACCTGGTAGCAGGTCAGGCCATGCAGAGCCAGGCGGGGTGGTCTGGGAAGAGCCGGGGTCCCATCTCTAAGCTGGGGGCCTGCCCAGGAAGCAGCTGCGGAACGCCCATCTTCCCGCCTATCTGCAAGTTCGGCCGGCCGCAGTGACTCTCAGCCCACGAGGAAACAGCAGCTGGTCAGCGGTGTGCTGGACGGGGACAGTAAGTACCAAGAAGCCGAGACAGAGCAGTGGGGCTGCCAGGGCCAACGCTGGGCCCAGTGGCGGATGAGATGAAAACACAGTGCTGCTGCAGCCAACACTGGGGAAAGCACGTACCCCTCCATCCAGGCACAGCGCCGGGTCATCAGGAATGGCACGCGCTGCCTCGGAGCCATAAGGGTACAAACCACACAGGAAGGCAGCCTGCCCCTCACTGAGCCCACACCACCCTCCCTTCAGCCTGGCCTCTCTCCTCACCCGATCCATCTTGAAATTCCGCCCCAGCACATTTTTCTGGTTGGCATCCATGCCATCACAGCCGGTCAGGAACTCGGGGAGGAAGGCTGCAAAGAAGCCGTCAAAGTCCACAGAGGCCATGTTGTAAATGGCGATGCCGATCTCCTCCTGCAGAAGGTCGTGGGACTTGTGGACCAGGACCTGCAGCAGCACGTTCACAAACTGAAACAGCATGGTGGTCCGGAAGATCTTCTGCAGACAGAGCCCAGAGTGAGTGCTGGCCGCAAGCAGGCTCAGGGCCCCTGGGCCTCTCCAGGTCCCCGACCAGGGCCCAGCGCCTTTGATGAGGAACCTTTCGGAGAAATGGGCACTTACCTTGTGGTACAGCTTCTGCTTGGTGTTGAGTGTCTCCAAGTAGAAGAGGTTTTGTTTAAATAGGTGGATGTCAGGCTGGAGAAAGGACTGTCCAAAAGCCTGTCCAAGAAATAAGACCACCATTCTACAAGCAGCATTAAACTCCACCAGGCCAGGCCCTCTGGGCACCCTCCCCCACGCCGGAGTGGCTCCTTCTGCTGATGCAGGGTAGGGACCTACTACAATGGGGCCTTGACTTACGAGTGTCCCGACTAACGAGTTTTATGAGATACAAGCCGTCTCTCGGCCGATTTTTTGCTTTGAGTTGCGAGCTAAAATTCGGGTTACGAGTCAGCTTCAGATACCCCACCGCTAGTTGGCGCAGCGAACGTCACAACATCAGCCCAGCATTCAATTCATTGTAATGGTGAAAACTGATTTGACATACGAGTAATTTGAGTTACGAGCTCCGTCACGGAACGAATTAAACTCGTAAGTCAAGGCCCCACTGTATCTCGTCTTCCAGCCTGTCTGATCCGATCTCAGGAATGTCCCCATGTAGTCTTATCTCTTAAGTCCTTCCCACTGGGCCTGACTTCTTTTGGTCTCATTCTACACCTTTGACAGCTTGTTTGGAGGTTCTATCAGGGGAGTGCAGCTACTCGTATACCCTTGACCGAAGAAGACCGGTTCTCTCCTCTGGGGGGAAGGTCGCCCTCTTTGACCGAGCACGCAGCTTCGGGAGGGATGCATATGGGATCGGTGAGGGAGGAGGGGACACCCGCCTAGCCAGCCAGGTCAGCCGAATCAACCCTGGCAATCAATGGGGTGACAGATGTCACAGCCAGATCGCCCTCACATCCTCATCCTACATCTTTTGTAATGAACCTCTGGACTCCTTCAGGAAGACTTATCTTTGAAGCAAGAAGCTAAAAACTAAGACAAATCGCTCAGCCTCCCCTCAAGCCAACCACTCAAACTCCCATAAGCCCTCTCCCTGGCATCCCAGGTCTTAGAAACCAAAAATCCTTAGAGGCTCATCACAACCAGCTGCCTCTGCCTTGGAATTAAGCAATAGCAAATTTTTAAACTGCTTTGCAATTTCTGAGCTGTAAAAGTTAGGACACCCCACCCCCCACAAAAAAAAAAAACAAAACAAAAAAAAAAACCTCACAAAGAGCCTTGTGCCAATGAAGACTGGGAAGAGTGGGGCAGGCCAACGAAAGGCAGACCAGTCATGTGCAGGACACCTCCTAGAATAAGCCAGGGACGGCCTTGTCATTCTGACCCCTGGCTCCTAAGCTACAAGAAGGGTCTTGTAACTCCTGCTGCAGTGATCTCTATGATGCCCACTGGTTTCCACTCACTTATTTTTCAAGTCAGGTTTACTGAAGTCTAACACAGAGTAAATCCCCCCCTCCGCCCCCCATCGAGGGTCACCATTATATAATTCTGACCACACCATCCAGTGTCTAACCACCATCACAATGGAGATACAGACACCTCCAGCTCCTCAAAATTCCCTCTGGCCTCAGGCAACCACTGCTTGTTTCCTGTCCCTCAAGGCCTGCCTCTTCCAGAATGTAATAGAATGCAATCATGCCAAGCATGTCAAACTCACAGCTGGCAGGCTGCATGCCTCATTTAAATAAATGAGGCATGCGGCCCATTGGCCGCGAGTTTGACATGCTTGAATTGTAGACAGTCTTCTGAATCCAGCTTCTTCACCTACCATAATGTATCATAATGTATTTACGTTGCCGTTTGTATAATAATATGTTCCTTTTTTATTTTTTGGTTAATCCTCACCTGAGGATATTTCTCCATTAATTTTTAGGGAGAGGAAGAGACAGAGACACACTGGTTGCCTCCTGCACGTACCCCGACCAGTGTTGGGAACCTGCAAATGAGGTACGTGCCCTTGACCAGAATTGAACCCAGGACCCTTCAGTCTGAGGGCCAATGCTCTATCCCCTGAGCCAAACTGGCTAAGGGTGTTCCTTTTTTTTTTTTTTAAATCCTTACCTGAGGATATGTTTATTGATTTGAGAGCAAGAGGAAAGGGGGGAGTAAGAGAAAGAGAGGGAGGAAGGGAGGGAAGAGGAGAGAAAAAGAGGAGAGAGAGAGAAAAACATCAATGTGGGAGAGAAACATTGATCAGTTGCCTCTTGTATGCCTCTGACGGGGAATCAAACCCACAACCCAGGTATGTGCCCTGACTGGGAATCGAACTCACAACCTTTTCGTGTATGGTATGATACTCCAACTGACTGAGCCACCCGGCCAGGGCAATATGTTCCTTTTTATTGTTGAGCAGCAGGCTCTTACATGCATGCATCATTGTTTACCCACTACCAGCAACAGATATTTGAAATGTTTCCAGCTTTTGGCAATTTTTTAAAAAGCCACTATAAACACTTGTGTACAAGTGAGTATATGTTTTCATGTATCTTAGGTAAAATACTTAGAAGTGGAAACTGTTTTCCAACGTGGCTTTTACCAATACTGTCTAACAAAGAAGACTTAAAAAGCGAGGACAGAGATTAAGAGGAAGGCAGAGGGCACAAACAGTACTCCACACCGAAGCCTGCGGGGGGGTGCTGGCGATGGAAGTTCAGCAAAGTGATTGCAGGAAGCCCAGGGATAGGCATGTGCTTTTCCAGAGAGATCCCCACACAAGGAGTTCGGGTGCAGGCGTGCATGTGTGCTGGTGGGGGGCTGAAGGGTGAGGAAAAGCAAGCACTGAAAAAACAAAAAGAAAACCTTCCACTTCAATCTAGACCAGCCGTGGGCAAACTACGGCCCGCGGGCCGGATCCGGCCTGTTTGAAATGAATAAAACTAAAAAAAAAAAAAAAGACCGTACCCTTTTATGTAATGATGTTTACTTTGAATTTATATTAGTTCACACAAACACTCCATCCATGCTTTTGTTCCAGCCCTCCGGTCCAGTTTAAGAACCCATTGTGGCCCTCGAGTCAAAAAGTTTGCCCACCCCTGATCTAGACTCTGAACACAAATTGTATGTATGCAACTGAGTGCAGAGCAAGAAGAGCACCTGACAGCCGGCCGCCCTGGCAAGGGGAGGCCACCGTCTTCACAGCAGGTGTGGTCCGCCCCTGACAGCTCGCTCTCTAGGCTGTAACAGTCACACTTGATCTGAGAAGGGGCACCGAGGCACTGGGCAGGGCCTCTCCCAATTCTGTTCTGGCCAGAATTCTCTCTACAGATGCAGACCATGGGCCCCTCCTGCAGAGACTCCTATTCAGTCGGCTGCCAGTGAAGGAGAGCCCTGTGGTGCTGGTGCCGTGTCATCCCACTCGGCACAGGGAGAGACTGGGGTTCCGAGAAGTGAATGAAGTGCACAGCACTAAGAGGCAGAGCTGAGCTCAGACCGAACTACAGGCTTCAGAGGCGGTACGTGTCGCAGTGGCCACATTAGGGAGTGGGGCTGAGTGTCAGAGAAGCCAAGGGACAGGCAGCAAGGGACCCAGGTGTCCCGAACGAGGCCTGTCTGTTCTTGGGCCACAGGGCAACCTCAGCAGCTCTTCCACGTTACCTGCATGATGGCACTGAACTGAGGCTCATTCTCCATCTGCTCCTCGGCAGCCCCCCTCTGGACACTGGCCAGGACAGTGGACTTGAAGAAGTACCTCCAGTTGTGATGGAGTATCCGGAAAAGGAGCTCAAACAGCTCAGCCTTCACGTCAGGGGAGGGGCGCTGCAGAGACACACAGAGACCCTCAAACCTTCTTCTCCTGCGGCTCAGGAGCTACTCACAGCCCAGGCCCAGAGCAACAAAGAGGTCTCAGAGATCCTGGCAACAGCAAGCTGTCAGCTTCCCACCCACACCCCTGTCCTATCAAGGCCCCCGAGTCAGCAGGTCAAACCAGGAGTACTTCGGCAGAGACAGGGCCGCCTGAGACACAATGTCTGGGTCGGTGCCAAGGGGCCCTGTTCTGATGGACACACTCAGCTTTTCAAGCTCAGAAAAGGCTACTAAATGGAAGAACAACTAGGAAAATGGCTTTTCTATTCACAAAGCAGCTATCTCACCTGTCATAGAGTCTTGGTAGTTGTTCCTTTTCCCAGGATAAACAACGCTGTCCAACTAACCTGCTGATCTTATACAACTGCAGAAGCTAAAGACAAGTAAGAAACCTTAAAGCAGATCTACCCTCCATAGAAAATGGGCTTAAGGGGCACTTAGGAGCCACAGAAAGCAGCAGCAGAGGGCCTGGGGGAGGCAAAACCTCCAGGGGACGGGGAGCAGCTTGCAGGGCTGACTGCTCTCTGGGCCTGTCTCCTCTTTCATTGGCAGCTGGGATTCTGGGATGAGGAGATGAGAGGGAGGCGGGCTCAGCAATATTTTCTAATTTGAACAAAAATCTCCAAGTCACTAGAGAGCATGACAGGTCACATTATTCCAGATGGGTCTGGAGAATTCAAAATGATAAGGTCCAGATAGATTTAATTCAGCTGATTAAGATGAAATTGAGACAGAAGGCATGAGCTTCTATGGCAGGAATCCTTACAGGGCCCACATGTGTTTAATGATGCAAAGCAAGTGGACTCACTTAAGCCTTAATATGGGCACTTAAAAAGGTTAGCTCTTATTTACGTAACTATTACATAAAATTTAGTTCATCTACTTATTCTGGATCTTGTCATGCTGTGTCTGTCTGTTTTCCAGGAAGAACAGAGAGCTTTGCTATAACAAGGAAAGCTTTGGATCATTCTGAAAACTTGCCTTGTATCCTTCAGATCATGAATGCTCTTGATAGGAAAAGTACATCCTATATAATAAAAGGCTAATATGCAAATTGACCAAATAGCAAAATGACCAGTCGCTATGATGCGCACTGACCACCAGGGGTCAGACGCTCAATGCAGGAGCTTCCCCCTGGTGGTCAGTGCACTCCCACAGGGGGAACACTGCTCAGCCAGAAGCCGGGCTCACAGGATGGCGAGCGCAGTGGCGGTGGTGGGAATTTCATGCACTGGGCCTCTAGTTCATTACAATGTTTGCTGTAGGAAACTATATATTCACCTAAAGTTATAAACTCTTTGCCAGGGAGGCTGATCTTTATCAACCAACCTTGCTTACACTAGACTAGTTCTAATTAACTCAGCCAATATAAAAATACTGTACCAAGCTAAAGGCATTCTTTCTTGGACAAAATTATTTTACAAAAATAAAATAAAATAACTAACAAATTAACTTTAAAACACAATGCATTTTCCTTACTTCCCCAATTGGACAGGACAAGCCCAGCCGCTTATACCTCAGCGATGATGGGATACACCTGCTCCATGCTCAGGGAGATGATGCTAGGAAGGAAGGGCTTGAACACCTGGCCAGGTTCCTGTACCACCACCTGCAGGATCTTCAGGAACTTCTCGACCACCCGGCAGCCAGTGCTGCCTTCGTGGAGGATGCTCTCGGCTAATTGTTCTCTGCAGACAAAAGAAACCACACAGTAGCCAAGGAATGGGACCAGCATGAAACCAACACTGTGGCAAGTGAAGAAGAGGAGCAGAAAAGTCCCACACTTCGTAGCTGGGCCCCACCACTTCTCCTTGAAATTTGAAAAGCGTGGACAACAGGTGTGTGGTTACCTGGTAAACATATTGAGGAAAGTCTGTATGATCTGTTCAGTGAAAGGCACACCCATCTGTACTCTAAGGCCTCGAAACAAAGTGAGGAAAAAGCTCAGCATCTCATCAGTCACATCTAAACAAAGGACAAAGCAAATGATCAGAGGCCTGCACACAGGGATAAACGGAAGCCCCTGGCTTGACAGACTTCCTCTTGCAATCTGCTCTATCATCTCTCTAAGGCTTCCTGCTGAAGAAATTTCCCCAACACCATCAGAGCCGGTGACGGAAAGTGGGAAATGATTAGGGACATGCTGAGAAAACAGCTCTGGTGCAGTGAGCCTCTGCTGATAGGAGGCTCTAGATAGGAAACGGAGCCTCCCTCGCCGCTCCGCCCCAGCCAAGTTCAGAGTTTTCACTGCAGATGGAGTGTTTTGCACACACGCTGATGGAACTACTCAATCGGGTCGACACCAAAGTGCTTTAGCTGTTTCTCTCTATGACCAATAATCCCTGCAGTGGGGGTTAAGTTAGGGGTTAAATGACTAAAAGTGGACAATGAAGGTGTATTCGGATTGCGTGGCCCTGGTCCATTAAATGCATTAATGTCAGAAAACATTGTTTCCATTTAATGTAGTTTCACTTCCAGATCTAAACAACCATCTTGTATAGTATGTTTCAGCTCCAGCCACACAAACTCTGCTTAAAGAGGCAATCAGTGAATTTTTGCTGACTCAGAAACCCCCAATATCTCCTAAGACTGACAAGACTACCACTGTAAATGCTCTCACATACCTGCACAGAGCTAGACAGAGCCCGTAGTGACAGCGGCAGAGAGGGGTGCAGGGCACCACCTCAAACCCACCTTGCCATATTGTAAGTAAATAGCATTTGTAGAAAAAAGTTCTCTTTCCTCTCCTGTATAATGCCCCGGTACTCTCAGCCATTTAGGTTCCACACTGGAAGAAGGCAAAGCCTTCAAAATAAAAACGAGGCAAGTAACTCAGTGCCACCTGACACAGGTGCAAGGCCCATGTGAAGGTTCCCTGGGGCCTGAGCCCCAGACCCCCACATAAACCTCACTGCCCTCTGCCTTCAGTGTCAAGGCCTCTACTGCTGACTGGGGGTGCTCTACAGAGCTAAGCAGGGACTTGGACCCTTGTGTGGCCTGCGGCCAGCTCCTACCTGACTGGTGAATATAAGCTGGAAAGAGGGCCAGGGAGACCTGCACGGATTCCTGCAGTGACTGGTAGCAGATCTGTCGGGACTTGGTGGATTCCCCGGAGACACTCTCCACGATATCTTCTAAGACACTAAGTGTCTGGTGGATAATCACTTTGGCTGCAAATCAAGATTAAGTTACATGTTATGACTTGTCTAAGGATCAAGAGTGAGAGGAAACACTAGGGAAGGAGAGGAAATCTGCAAGGGTATTTAGAGGACAGTGACACAGACATCTTGATTTCCTCTCTCTCCGGCTCCTCCCCCCTCCTTTTCTTCCTTTCCTTTTTTTTTTCCTTCTTACTGTTAGAACTCCAGGTGCCTGCTCAGTTTTTCCCTCTATTCTGCTTCTATCCACCAGAAACAAGTCCACAGAGAAGAAAAGATCAAATGTAGCCTCAGGTTAGGCGCCTTAGATTTAAGCCTCTAAAATGGTGAATAAACTGGTGAGAAAACCAGTGTCACAGATAATTACCACAGGCAAGAATGGACACATGCAGATCAAACACTCTCCTTCAACTCCAAATCTGACCCTCGCCTGGTAATCCACACAGCACCTGCCATGCACATCATGAAATAAAGGAACCTCACTTTACAAGGTGCTGGGAAGCCCTGAAGGGGGACCTTTCCCACATGCACCACTAGTTGCAGCCTACATAACCAGCAGAAAGAAGGTAAGAATTATTTTGACACGGGAGGTCATTTTTCACTTAGGAATTTCATCTGCTTTCAAGAGAAAAAGATCCCTGCCTGCCCCAGCAATAATGCACTAACCCCCACTTGCACCAAATGAGAAACTGCTACAACCTCAAACTCTTGTTCTCCTACAATGAATTTCAGTTCAAAACAACCCTCCCCAGTTTCCTCCTAAAAGCTGTCCTACCCTTTGTCTCTTCGAACTTGCCTGTAGCTTGCTACATTTTTCTTGTTCCATATTGCAATTCCATGCTATTCCCTAATAAACTTGTTTTTCTGATAAAATAGCTGGCTGTTTATTTTTGAGATGACATTATAAGGTATCAGAAGTGGGATCCAAAGGAGACAAACCCCTGAGGAACTAACAACCCCTGGAACTGTGGGAGGCATCCGCTTGAGCCTTTTGTGCTCTCCACGTCCATGAACTGTCTTTTTCCTTTTGGTGAGGTAAATCTGTAAGATGCCAAGCTCCCTCCCTTTGTTTAAGCTCTCTGACTTTGTCTGGGACCTATTTAAAGGTTTCATACTACCCTGGCCGGTGTGGGTCAGGAGTTAAGAGTGTCAGCCTAGACACTGAAGGGTCACGGGTTTGATTCCAGGTCAAGGGCACATACCACAGTTGCAGGGTTGCAGGTTCGATCCCGGTTGCATGCGGGAGGCAACCAATCAATGGAAAAAATATCATCAGATGAGAATTAACCAAAGTAATAGTAATAAAGGATCTATCCTTTCTGTTTTTATCAAGACATTGCCCTTTCTGGTGAGTACTCTTTCTGTTTGGAATTACAATGGCCATTTACTAATTGTTTTGACTTAGTCCACCTTAAGAGGCACTCTTAAAAGAGAGAATTCCAAACCTCTCAGAGACAATGAAATGAATCCTTTGGTTGGTATGCAGAAGCTTTTAAGGGACAAAGTAACCCCAAAAACAGTTTTTAAAAGGATCCTTACAGCATACATATTTTTTTTTAATCTTTAATATAAAACTTTGGCTATCTGAACAAGTAACCTTAACTTAGTCCATCTGCCAGAAACACAATTTGGATCCAACTATTCTTTTGAGTTTTATGCCTGAGACATGGCTAATATTTTAAAATCAGTTTGTGTCTATCTGTATTTTGTGTGTGTGTGTGTGTGTGTTTATGTAATATTTTTCTATCTCTGAATGATATTACCAAAACTTATTTGTAATCTATTTAATGAGTTTTAAAAGATTAAGCATTTATATAAATTAAGTATACTGTCAGAAATATATCAAAACTAACCCAAATGAATTTCAGGGAATATGTTTGACATTAATGTTAGTTCCAGGTTGTTGGTTTAATTAAAGCAGGTATGTCTTTCAAATTATTTACTTTCATTTTACCTAGATTTACTGAAAAATCAAGTAAGTTCATATTATCTGTCACAAAATTTGGCATCAAGGAAAATAAGATATTGGTTAGCTGGTTTAATGTCCAATCCAAGCATAATTGTTAAAAACAAGTAATTTAAATAAATGCAAATAAGGTCAAAATCAAGTAACAGATATTCATTAAATATCTAAATCATTTCCAATTCGATAAACATTAAATGCTAAAAATAAGTTTAATCACTTTTGGCATTTTAATTTTACCCAAAAAAAGTTTATTATGAGAAAAAATATACTTCCAAAAATTTTGACATGTATTTATAACTTTGTTAATTTATTACTGGATGCTAATATATGAAAAACAGTCACAACTGCCTGCTTTCTACTTTTCACTGAAAAGCAAAGATTCTAAATAGTTTAAAAAGTTGGAAGAGCTAAAAATACAAATGAACCAAAGAGAGAATGTTAACACTTGAGTACTAAGCACTAATTCTGCACAAACGATGAGCATCGATGCTGAGAGAATGCAGACAAAGCAGCAGGCAGCCCTTTGGAAGAGAGGCAGCCATGGAACTCCCATGAGAGCTTTCTCCTACTCCAGAAAGATTACTGCAACTTCCTGGTTTTCAAACTGTGGTGAGAGATTATTGCTGAGTGATGATTAACATTTAGTTAAATAGAAAATATACATAGTATCTACATTTGCCAATATTGACAAATGTATAATACATATCTTTAATTCTATCTATAATTTACAGATTATAGATTTATTATCTATATATAAATAAGAGAATAATTTTATAAAATGCAAAATGGGGTGCATGCATGGCATATACTGAAAATAAAGACATGTCCATTTATTAAACTTATTTGTTACTTATGGGCCATAATATACACTGTATTTCTTGCTATGAAATGACCCCACATGTTTGAAAGCCACTGCGCTTATACCACAGTGAACTGAGCAAACCAAAGTGTCTGCAACGGCTGAAAAGGCCAATACACGAACAAGCACCCTTTCTGTCCTGTCACACACAAGTGCTAACTCAAGGCCAGGCTATAATCGCTCTTTGATAGGCTCATACTCTGTTGCCTTGTCTTTTTAGATTTGTAGCCAGGCAGTAATCTTTATTTAAAAGAACTTCCCCATTTCTTATAATTACTTGCACGGCCGGAAATTCTGGTGGTGGCTTCCAAGATATTTATAGGTCTGCCATAACTTTAGTTGTTGTCCCATCTTTGAAATCTTTATTCTCCCTACTCAACACGGAGCAATACTCTTCAGCAGTAATGTTGGGATCCTACTGCCCCTGACTGTTCTAATCATTCCCAGTCTCACAAAGACATGAATGAATCACATACTATAATCCCAAAAAGCACGTGGCTGATTTTAACTTTATTATGTAGTTTACATTCACTTAAATGTAACTCGAGGCAATTATGCTATCCTCTAAGAGTAAGCCTGCAATTATTCTGTAACTGCCTTGCATCATTTCTTTTCTAAACATGTCTTTATTGATTTTTAGAGAGAGAGGAAGGGAGAGGAGTAGGAAGATAGAAACATCAATGAGAGAAACTTCATCGATTGGCTGCCTCACATGCACCCTTACTGGGGATCGAGCCCAAAACCCGGGCGTGTCCCCTGACAGGGAATCAAATCATGACCTCCTTCCTGGTTCATAGGTCAATGCTCAACCACTGAGCCACAACGGTGGGGATCATTTCTGTTTTCAGATAAGCTTTATAAGTGTTTAAAATTGAGGTCAATTTGAACCAAAAAATTGAAATTATCAGGGGAAAAAATGTTTTTAAAAAAAATAAAACTAGAAAATAATAAAGATGAAAGAAAATGACTGTATATGAAAAAATAGGATGTGTATTTTCAATGAAAGAAGGTATGAGGAATGGAGATACAGTTTTTGGTAAGAGGGGAAGAAAAAGTAATTTTGTCCTGAAGTAAAATGAATGTTCCAAAATAAGAAAGAAAAAAGATAAGACATAACCTAATTGGATATAAAAAATTACAGAAAGTTTATGGATAAGAAATCTTGAGAAAGGAACTGTATGTGGTGACTGGAGATTGAAATTCCAACAAGCTACTCGAGTTTGCTTGTCCCGATTGCAATTGTCTGCTATTCCGAAATAAACCCATATTGCTGGTACGATAATTGGTTATTTTACTTTTGAGGGTGACAACATCTACTGCTGATGTGTTCAGAAATAAAATGCTTAAATAATGGGCCTGTGACCATAGGTATAATTATTATTATGCTGTATTACAGTATATGTCGTTGATAACATACACTTCTAACAATACCCTAAGGCAGGGGTCCTCAAACTTTTTAAACAGGGGGCCAGTTCACTGTCCCTCAGACCGTTGGAGGGCTGGACTATAGTTTAAAAAAAAAAACTATGAACAAATTCCTATGCACACTGCACATATCTTATTTTGAAGTAAAAAAACAAAACGGGAACAAATACAATATTTGTATTTGCATGTGGCCCGCGGGCCGTAGTTTGAGGACCCCTGCCCTACGGTGTGAGCTCACTGGATGACTGCATACAGCGCACGGGGAAACAGCCAGTGGCCAGCAAACAGCAGCTCAGAAGAAAGAGAGAGGGCCAGAGGACCCTGGATATGAACGGCAGATGATCAGTAGATGGCTACACACGCAGGCAGGATCCTCGTCCGTACACTGAGGACAGCCAACAGCCCCCCTCTGCAGGGTTGCTGGGATGATCAGAGGCAAGGTTCAGGATAATCCTGGCAACGTGTCTGGTATATCAGAAGGCCCAGGGAAGAAACTCTGTCATCATCCCCCAGCACTGATGGGGAGCTCATCCCCTATCCCAGGGGTGGGCAAACTTTTTGACTCGAGGGCCACAATGGGTTCTTAAACTGGACCGGAGGGCCAGAACAAAAGCATGGATGGAGTGTTTGTGTGAACTAATATAAATTCAAAGTAAACATCATTACATAAAAGGGTACGGTCTTTTTTTTTTTAGTTTTATTCATTTCAAACAGGCCGGATCCGGCCCGCGGGCCGTAGTTTGCCCACGGCTGCCCTAGATA